ACAAATAAAAGATACGGAATAGTAAATAGACAATATAATAAATTAATAACCTAAATTAACAAAAAATGATAATTATCACAATTTGAAAACAAAAAATTAAATTTGAGTACATAATTTTGGAATAGTTTTTAAGGTGATAATGATGTTACAAATGTAGCAAAAATAAAAATACATTAGTCGTATTAGAATTTTTTGACCATTATATTTTGTTTTTAACCAATCACTTGAACCTTATGAATTGACGTATTATATTTTAAAAAACATATTGATTCATTATATTAAAATTAGAAAAAGCAAGAGTTTTGTCCAAATTATCCCATTCAAGAAGCTCAAATGTACAGTTATGTCATTTGTCATCTAAGCCGATTGATTTGCCATGTCATAATAAACTTTTGCCATGTCATATTTATTTGATAAAATTGATTGTGGTGTTGACATCTTAACTAATTTTGAAAAATCACTACCAAAATAATGTATACGGGATGGGTATGATCTCTCTTGAATAGTCGTATTTGATGACGTATTGTTAATTATTAATTTTGTAACATCTTTTAAACATGGAGCGCCTATTATTGGCTGTGGTGTTAAAAGATTTATGATAGCTCGTATGTTCGATAAACAAAGAAGTCATTTAACCAAAAACTCATTGTCCTAGTAAATGTAAAGAAAGAGGAAAAGAAACCCTTTTTTTTTTTTTTTGACTTTAGTCGACTTGAAGAATTGTGAAACAACTGAGTTTATGAGTCATCTTTGTTAGCGCAGTGCACGTATGCCAAAATATTATAAAAACTAGTTAAAAAATATTCTTAGTACATTCAAATTGTTTTATGCTAAAAACAAAATTCAAAAGAATAATTATTTGTTATTATAAACTTGGGAAGTTTTTTCACAAACATATCAAAATCTCTTTTAAAAATTTGGTAAATTTTTATCATTATTTTCAAAATAAATATATATATTCTATAAAAATGTTATATAATTTTATTATTACAATAATCAATTTCAAAAAATTATAAAGAAAGGCATTTGATCTAAAAAAATTATTTTTTACATTTGATGGAAATTTTCATGCATAAGTAAGATTAGTCTCATTGTGAATATCATACTCATCAAAATTAGTTTGAGGGCCGACTGAATTGATATCAAAATTTTTTTTGCCGTGATCCCTTATAAATATATAGTGAAGATTATTGGTTAGGTTTAATTGTGCTTGTGAAATTGGGCTAATAAATGATTTTGACTGATTTTTTTTATTGAGCTTAAGGACTAATAATTATTATTGAAATTGGGCTAATAATTAGTTGGGGAAATTAC